TTCTTTTAATCCCCTTATATATTTTATTATAGTTTCATCATGTCTGTTTTGCAAGATTATCAATTACTCAATTAACTTTACAAGTCACGATATGGGTATATTTGTATCTTATTTGATAAATATTTTAGTGAATAAATACTATTACGCCTTGGCCTACAAGGCAAGTTGCATGGCAGTTAATTAAGCAAAATGTCACGCAAGGTCCTCTTTCCACACGCCTTTTTCGAGATATATGGTGATGCCTTCAAACATCTGGCTTGGAACATTATTGTTATCCAACGCGATGATGCATCACCTCTCTACTGCAGTGTATATTGGAGATGATGGACATCAGTTGCAAGCCTTGCTCCGGTTAAGTTGTACAAAATGTAGTGCTTAGAGTGATTGATATAACAACTAACCAATTTTGATTTCAAATCTGCAATCTCATCAACAACATCACTAGTAATAATCACATGGTCAATATATAGCAAAAGTAAAATGCGACCAGCTGAAGTGCATCTAAAGAATAGGGCAGAGTCATGATGACTAGATGTAAAATCAAGAAAGATAACAACAATAGAGAATTTAACAAATCAGGCATGAGGTGCTTGTTTGAGGCCATAAAGTGCTTTCTTGAGCTTACAAACATATTCAGGGGAGGGAGAAAGATCAGGAGAAGGAACCATATAAACCTCATCTTGAAGATTTCTATTCAAAAAGGCATTTTTGACATCCAACTTAGAGAGACTCCACTGACGAATAGATGCAACTACAATAAGTGTACGAACATTGGTCTTCTTAGCAACATGAGCAAAAGTCTCATCATAATCCAAACCATACTACTTATTTAAATCCTTAGCAACCAATCTAGCCTTGTAACGCTCAACTGGACCATCAGATTTAGTTTTAATCTTATAAATCCAACAAGAACTAATAGTATGTTTACCTGAAGGCCATGTTCTAAAAGGCGCGCAAATGCGCCGCGTAGGCGCGACGCGGGTCGGGTCGTAAACACGTCGAATTCGGAAAATGCGGGAAAAATGCGTTTCCATCTAAAAGGTGTGCCTAGGCGTGCACAATGCACGCATAATGCGGGCCATTATCCCGTCTAATCCCCCCTCCCCCTTTTTTTTTAAATCTATTTTTTTTAATGATATATTAAAAAATTTATTTTTTTTATATAAAAATATATTTATTGCCTTAAAAATACGAAACACATTATGGCGCTTATTCTTCGCATTGATACGCCTAAACTTGTGATTCTTGATTCTCGGCCTCGACGCATCGCAATGCATTACGCATTTTAGAACATTGCCTGAAGGCAATGCAACCAAGTCCCAGTGTCTGTCTTATGTAGAGCAGAGAATTCATAGCCTATTGCCAAAGAGGATCCATAATAGCTTGTTTATAGAAAGAGGGTTCAGATAGCTTGTGAATGAATGTTAGAAAACAACAAAATAACTCAGAATAACAAGAATAAGCAAAATCATCTAACTGAGTGAACTTACGAATACGTTGAGGATATCGAGGAAGGGATGGAGCGAGAGCTGGATCAAGACGGTGCTTGAGAGGCTATAAAAGGAAGATGTGTATCATGATCTGACGTACGTGTACATGTAGGACATGAAAAATAATAGTACATGGGATATAGGAAGGTGGTTTGTCAATATTATTAGAAAATGGATCAATACGAATGAGATCAGTTTTAGTCATATCATGAGTATTATCGCAGATAAAAAAGAACGGAACATGCTCAAGAAACACGACCTGACGAGAAACACATAATTTTTTATGAACGGAATCAAAGCAGTCCCTGCCCATAAACAAAGAAAACGCAAATAGGAAAGCGAGATGTCAACTTACTACGTTCGACTTTAGGACAAAGAACAAATCAAGTACAGTCAAGACTCTTAATGAGGAGTAATCATGAGGATATTCATACAATGTTTCAAAGGATGATAAACCTGAAATGTGGGAAGATGAAATCTTATTAATTAAATAAAAGCAGTAAGAATTGCTTCTTCCCAAAATTCACTAGGAACTTTGGTAGACAAAAGAATGGAACGAGTAGTTTCTACAAAGTGCCAATACTTTCGTTCAACAACACCATTTTGTTGTAGGGTATTAGTATATGAGGTTTGATGAATTGTGCCATCAAGAGTAAGCAATTCAAAGAAATCAGTCGAAATATATCTCCACCCAAGTCACATCTAACACACTTAATTACAACAGGATGTTGAGTTTTAATAAGTACTGTAAAAGAAAGATAAATAGAAAGAAAGTCAGATCGTCGTTTCATAACATAAACCAATAATAATGACTATAATCATCAATAAAAGATACATAATATTTAGATCCCCCTTGTGTAGTAATAGGAGCACGTCCCCATATATCAGAGTGAATAAGATCAAATGGTGCAACAGAATGAGAAACAATTCGAGGAAAAGATAAAGTAGAAATTTTAGCTAATTTACAACCACTACAATCAGAAATGTTATGAGTTTGCAAATCTCCCAATTGGCCCTTGGAAACTAAATTTTTTAAATGACTAGCTGAAACAGGTCTAAGACGAGAATGTCATAAATAAAAACTAGAAGACGATGAATTCAAACAGAAAGACGATAAGATGACACCAGAGGCAGTAATGTGTGGTGGTCTCAGATTGTCTAGAACATATAACCCTCCTTGTCTACGGTATATCCCAATCAGCTTCTGAGATTGAGGATCCTACACATGATAAGCAGTAGAGGAAAACTAAACTAAGTATCTGGAATCACACAATGGCCATAGAAATAAGATTCAAAGTAAGAGCTGGAACACAATAGACATCTGAAAGCGATACATTATGCGTGTTAACAGAATCAACACCTCCTAAAGGCAAGGTGTGCCATCAGCGGTCATAACAGACATAGACGAGTTATAAGGGCGCAAGTCATTAATTTTTTTGAGTTAGACGACAGGTGGTTGGAGGCACCTGAGTCAAAGATCCATGATGAAGAAATACCTGAATAACTCTGAGATGTCAAACCTATATGAGTAGAGGCGACATAGCATGTGGCTGTGCAGCTAAAAACTTCTAAAACTGCTTTGCCAAATTAGTCAACATGGGACTAGAGGAAGGTGGTGCTCGAAGTACAGACGAGTCACTAGGTTGCATGGTGGCACCTATGTTAGCATTGGGACGACAAGATCGTTGCTGTAGTTGTGGCTACTGCTTCTTCAATAGTTTAGGACATTGAAACTTGCAAAGTACCTTTTGTTTGTAAAAGTTACATTCATCACTAGCAACTCTCACATAACCTTTGTTTTGATTCTATGTATACGGTCGAGAGGGTACAACCAACACTGATGTGCTAGATGGAGGAAGAGACACTTCTCGTGCAAGAGATTTCAAAAGTATTTCTTCAACTACAAGTTCACTCATCACCGAATCAACTGAGAGAATCACCTTGAAAATTGTTCTCACGCACTCTCATGCGTCACTGCTTGTGAGCCCCACGCACCGAGGTCTCGTGACACCGCTTGACTAAAAGATGCTCTTTGACCTGCTAAACAAGAATCTGGTCTCAGTTTTTTCAACTGGTCTCTGGTTCGATCGGAATAGTAATTTTTAGTTGCGGTCGAGTATGGTTTTATACAGTTTTTTTTTCTGCTTGGATTTCCAACGTATTACAATAAGAAATTTCACAATTTTCACTCAAACAACATGAGCTATCTTGAACCAATATAGTGAATCAATTCAAAGAGAAGAAGAAGAAAGAGAGAAGAAAAATCAATAATGTATTGAGCCGTCAAAAGAATTAGATTTTTTAATGAAATATACAAATTTATATATTACAAGAAAAGTAAACAAAATGGAAACCTATATAAAAGACAGAATCTAAATATTATGCATTGCATAATATTTATAAGGCTAAAACAACTAATATACACGTGAAAAAAGAGGAGTTGAGGCTTGTTAACAGTAGAGTCTGGCCTAATTCGTAGATCAACAAATATTAAATAGACATTCTTCACATAAATAAAGTTTACTAGAGAAAAGATATATTTATTTATGCGTCTCAAAGAAATGCATAACATTGAAAGAAGATTGGACTATTTAAAATTTTCTTATGCCGTGAAATCCAAAAGACGTGACTTTTAGTCTTATAATATAATGATATCCATGATGAGTTACCAAACTTTATCTTTAAAAGTCAAAATATTCTTAGCCAAATTAAATAAAATATTTTTTACAAAGAACGTTTCGTTAGCAAATGTAATTCTTTCTACTCAAAATGATGAGCTGTTTTCGAATTGACATCGAGTAATAATAGGACTACGCGGAAATAACTAGGAAGCTCATGTATTCTTCCAAAGTAAGAAAAAAGAAAATGTGGGGTCGACTATTCCCCCTCTTATTCATAATTTGTTAAAAAACTTTTTAAGAACCACTGATTATATATCTCAATTTAAAGTAGATCATCGAACTTTTTTTACTCGTTTAATTTAACCTCTTGTTTGACATGAAACTCGAACTTAATACAGTATATTTGGTCTTGCTTAAAAGTTTATTTTTAAAATATATCAAAAGTGATATTGTCAAAAAAAACCTTCTTTTGTGAAGAAAAAACAAGGCCAAACATGCTCTATTTAAATAAGCAAAATAAAAGATTTTGGTCACTACATTCTTTCTGAGAAGTTTCCTTCAACCCGACGAAAGTCATTCAAGGCATTTGGACAGAGTAACAAAATCTTATCGGATTGTGACGTCACCAAACTGCCTGTATGACCTGGCCGCCTGGCTTCCTTTGACGCACGTGTAGTATTGTCCAAATGCTGCAGTCACAATAATTTAGTCCCAATAATCCCAAAAAAATCCCCTCTTGGCCATGCTTTTTTCTTTTTACATAACATTAAATTACAATTTGCATTTTTTTATTTCAGATCCTTTCCCCCACCCACCCCCTACTCATGGGTATATAAACGGGCATTTTCACTCACAATGGACTCAAAATATTCCCTCCTACTACTTCAAAATGGATTCCTCTGTTTTTCGCTCCAGGAATTCTGATAATTTTTCCTCTGATTCATCCTTTGGATCACCAGAATCTTTTCCATGTTGGGATGTAAAATTCTTGGAGGAAAATTCACTTCCTTTCAATGAAAATGATTCTGAAGAAATGCTTCTGTTTGGTGTTCTAGCACAAGCTGCACAAGAAGAAAATTCTGAATCAAATTCATCTGATCATCAAACAAAAGAAGATGAAGTAAACTCAGTCCCAGACGAAAAACCCACCAAGGAAAAGTCTTACAGGGGCGTAAGAAGAAGGCCATGGGGGAAATTTGCAGCTGAAATAAGGGATTCTACAAGGAATGGAATAAGGGTTTGGTTAGGAACATTTGATACTGCAGAAGCCGCTGCTTTAGCTTATGATCAAGCGGCGTTTTCGATGCGCGGCCAGGCTGCGATTATGAATTTTCCTGTGGAAAAGGTGAGGGAATCACTGTGTGAAATGAAGTGTATAACTGAGGAAGATTGTTCACCTGTTATTGCTTTGAAAAGGAAACATTCAATGAGGAGGAGAAATGGGAACAAGAAGAGCAAGGCGAGGGAAATTAAGGAGGAAAATGTGGTGGTGTTTGAGGATTTGGGTGCTGATTATCTGGAACAACTTTTGAGTACAAGTGAAAATGGTAATTTCTTGTGTACTTAGGTTAGGAACCTTTTCAATGTAACTAGAACAAAAGAAAAGGCCACTTTTTTATTTTTTCTTTTTAATTTTTAACTTTTTTTTTTTGTTTTTTTTAAGTGTTGTTTTTTAGTATTTTTGTGGAGGAGTTTGCTTTATTTTTTTTCTTTTTATCCTCTTTTTTCGTCTCATTCTTTGAGATGATAGAGTGTAATTGTGGATAAATAGATTTAAGGATACTAATTTCGATAAGCGATAATCTTTCAGTGTTCTATTTTGCTACGCCTCAACGTGCATGTTACGATGAATTTACTATCCATGCATAATAATACCTAAAACTTTTATAAACAAGATCTCGATGATAATTGAATTCAGGATTTTACTTGTTGGACTCTACAAGTAATGTAATTATCTAAAAAGTTATAGAATTAAAGATTCAACTAGTTTGTATTTATTTCACTTTCATACTTATTTTGCAGTAAAGATAATTATTGCATGGGAATTTAAACCATCCTATACCCTACTATTCATATAAGGGGTGTTTGGTTTAATAAATTTAATGACATATCTTATCCATTGAACAAATTACTTTATTAAATCCCACTTGCCGTACGTAACACCTATATAATCACAAAGATTTGCTCGGTGGCCTATACGTTGTCCCATTCTTTGTTGAATAATAAGAAATTTATACGTACTAATATATATATATAATGAAAAAGATGTTCTATACCCTATACATGAGGCAAAAAATTTGATAAATAATTAGCAAAAAATTATATATGTTGCATCCGTTATTAAACCAATATCCAATATAATAAATACTTTGGTCGAATCATCAAGTTGTTGAGTGCAATTACATGACGATAAAACGGAGAGAGATCTCACTGATGATCATCTACCTATGCTTCGATTGAGAGGAGGGTGGGATCTTGTCGATAAGAGAGGCCCTCGTCAACATTTATCATCATTGGCTCGCACCTATGGGCCACTATAACTATCCAATATACACTCGAAACTGGAAGGATAAACATTTCAAAAATATTTTGGAATTAATGGAAAAAAAATAATAAATAAAAATTTGGAAAAAAAAAAAAAAAACCATGTCATACATATTAACTAGGGATGAACATAGGTTCAGTTTGTGACAAATTTTCAAACCAAACCAAACCACTTCAATTTCTAAATCAAACCATGTTTTTCGATTTGGTTGGAATTAAAATCACAATTTAACAAAGAAAAAATAACATATATCGAATAAGTTATATCATAAATATTAATCTAAATTTCACGTTAAAACATAAATAATATCATTGAAAATATTACAAATTAGAGTTCTATAATTCTAATCATTGTAAAACATCTGCGATTTAATACATGATTCATTCTCTCCATAAAAATAAGAATATAATACATGAACACATTAATTATAGTTAACTAATATAAAATAACTAATAAAAGAAAATGAATAGAAAGATCAAATACGAGAATACTTTTAATAACATTTTGTGAATCATTAAATGCTTCTACCTCATCTAAATATTAACGAATCACTATAGGTTTTTTCTTACTATACAACCAAATTTTAAAGCGAATCACCACCTCAACCATATTTTCATTTAACGTAACTCCTAAAGGAATTAAGAATTCTACCACTAGTCGGGAATGCAGGTTCAGAAATAATTGTGAATATTTGAATAATCACTAAAGTAGTATGTCGAAAGACTCGTTGGTCAAATTTGCAGAATGGCCATTTCATTGGAATGGATAATTGTCTATTTGAATATTGAGTTTAATTGGATTATGTCTAATATAAATTTATCTTTTTAATTGTGATGCATTTAGTTTTCATTGGGTCAGATAAAATTTAAATTAATTTATTTTCATTTTTTTTGTTTTTTTGAAACGGTTTGGTAGTTTGAAAGAGTTTGAAAATATTCAAATCTAAACCAAATCACTCTTCAAAATCAAAATATTGACAAATTCACGTGGACCTAAACTAACAATTTTGAAAATGCGATTTCGATTTGGTTGTGCGGTTTGACGATTTGTTGTTCAGCCGTAATATTAAGTGTTCAAAATAATTTTTAAACTATATACAAATCAAAGGGTGGGGAAATTAGATATGTTTTGATATTTTACTATAAATTAATAATTAATGTAGATTTCAGCTTTCCATAAAAGCTGATATTAGAATTTTATGAAAGGAGTGATGTTATTTGCAGTTGTTCACTGTCGTAATTGTCATACGTGGTATACATGTAACAGTTAGTGATTTGATGCATTAATATTGTACATTTTTTTATTCTTTTATACAATTTTAAAAAGATATTTCTTTGTCAATATATTTTGGTATTTCAATATAAATTAATAAGTAAGTTAATGTACATTTCGGCTTCCCAAAATAAAATAAAAAATAAAAATAAAAATAAATTAGAGCTTTTTGAAAAAGATTCATATTGGAGTTTCTTTTAGTGTTGGACATGGTTAAGTTCGGTTCTAAAGAGAATATAATCGAATCAAACCAAAATTTTTCAGGTATTTAATAAATGAAACTTTTGGGTCTAAATATAATTATGAAACCATTCGAGTTCGGTTCCGTTTGATTTGGGTCGGTTCCGTACTATAATTAAATTTTTTAACAGATTTTATAATTAATTTTTTTAACAAATTTCTAATGGTCAACGATCGGTGGTCGTGGTTGGAGGTCGCGACTTCGATGGATAGTTGGAGAGGGGAAGTCGGACTTGACAGTTGGTGGCTTTGATTTAGGTATGTAGATGTGGTTTTTCAATTTATCAAATGATTTGAGGTCAGTAACTCAGTGGTTATTGAATGAAAATGTGAAATTGGAAAGATAATGATAAAAACTTAAAAATGCCTAGATCTTGAGCTAAGAATGAAATTAATAATTGGCCAAAAAATTAAATTAAAAAATTAAATTTAGAAATTGGGTTGGATTGGGCTAGCTAGGCATGAATTTAGCTTGTGAATTAGAACATTAATCACTGATTAATTAATTTGCTAATTTGTTTAGAAAAAATTAAAAAAAATTAATTAATTCAATATAAAAAAATTTAAAAATTTATTTAAATTTGATTTTTATTCGGTATAGAACCGAGAACCGAACCGAACCCGTTGGTTTTCGATTCAGATACCCATTCGGGTATTTAACTTATGAAAAACCGTTTGATTCAGTTCAGTTCGATTCGGATCCGATTCGATTCTGAAGTTTTGTCCAGCCCTAGTTTCTTTGGAACAACTTTAAAAGAATTATTTTTTTTTATACGAAAGTGCTTTTGACATTCTAAAACTATTTTGGAACCCGTTTCACATAGTTTTTGAAAAGTCAAAAAGAGTTTTTGAGATTGAAAAGTTGTTTTTGAACCAATTTGATTAATTTTATGAAAATGTTTCTTTAAATTAAAAGTGTTTTTGAAGAGAACTGGTCTAATGCGGTCTCCCCTAAAAATATCTTCAAAATNGGGGGTGGCTAATTCGTATAGTTTGTGAACAAGATTTGATGTGGTGTTCAAATCGTATTAGCTTTGTCGACTTTTACGTGATAATAATTATTGCACTACTAGATGGTTAAGTGAACTTAGTCCCCTTCGGGGGACACTGCTAATTTTCCCCAGCCATGCTTTTGGATTTCTCAAATAATTGATAATGTCGTTTCGATTTATTGTAATTTCTTTTATATATTAATTAAATCTAAGAAAAAGAATTCGATAATCATGTCTAGAGTTACTTACTTTCTTATTTATTATTTAATAATCGCTTTAAAAGATACTCAATGATCTGTCCATTTTTTACAAATTGAACAATTGCTTTTGAATATATAAATGTTAAATTGGTCAGTTATCTGTATTTTTCAGAGATCACATCCGCAAAGGAAAAATTATGATGATTAACACATTTTTGGAATCCAAACAAGCATATTCAGGTCTTTGATGCTTTGAAAATTCTTTACAACTAAATTTCTACGAACTTTCCATTGAAAATCTGAATTATCTTAGACATTTCAAGAGGGCCCATGTCTCCACTTTATGGGCCTGTAATCAGCCAACAAATCAAACCGATATTGAACTCGGCCCAAATCAGCCCTCGAACCATCAGGCAGGCACACAAAATAAACGGGTTAAATTCACAAATGGGTAATGAACAACCTGACCCGTTTCTTCAAATTTATTATGAAATTTTGAGACTTGCACAAATGATCTCGACTGTCATGTACCTAAATTATTTTTTTCCTATCTTGGGTACCTTAGTTTGAAAGAAGAGAACGAGAATAGTAGGAAACGTAATTTCGAAATTAATTAAGCAAGGTATTTTACTCTTTTTGAAAATTGATACATCATGCATTTCAAAACTTTTGGCACGTATTTTGTTGTTATAAAACTACATACTATGCTGTTCCTAGGATTATTGCAAATTATTTTGAAAGGTTGCATTTAATCTTACCTGATAAAACATTTAGCCCCTCTTTGACAACCATTATTTTCGAAAAACAATGTTTTGAATAATGATTTTTAGTAGAATGTGTAGTTAAAAAGTAAGAATAATTTTTGAATTTAAGTGCATAATATTTTATTGTGTAGATGTGTAGATGAAAATGATTATGTAAAAAAAAAAAGTTTTCGAAAAATGGTTTGTCAAATAGAGGCTTATATACTTTGTTAGGTATAAGATTACATAATAATCTAGGTATAACATTAAGCCAACTTTCGAATGTTATTTTATCCTAAACTAGTGAAACTATGTTGTTGCCTCTTTTTGATCTAGGATCCACACTATTGACCAGAAAATTATAATCAACAAATGTCTCCCATTTGGTTAGGATTTTATCTTCCTAAACGCACAATGTTTGTTTTCAACAAGAAGCAAGATGAGAAATAGTTATTTGGGAGGAAAATATTTGAATTTCATCCCATTCTTCCTTTTTGGTGGGCATATTTATAGATTATCCTTGAGGGCTTTGGGGGTAATTGGGTCCTTTTAATGAATGACATGTGGCGGTCATTTAATGATGAGTTTTTAAACTATATATGTCATGTATTCATGCTTTATTCATTGGCCTAGGTATCCCATACTCATTCGTCTTGAAGTCATGCTTTAAACATTTATTCACATACATATTATTTGTGATTTCTTAAAGGGAGACATCTCGCCTTCTTGTCTACGAACTCTTGTTTGCGTCCTCCTAAGTTTATTCCTAACTTCACATTTTAGACTCGCGTAAAAAGTGTAAGAAACTTGTTAAAGAGTTTAGAAGAAGTTAAAAAAATAAAAATATTGAAGTGGACAGAAAATAAAAAAGGACGTCTTGGAGCCGGGGGCCTGTGTTCAACACAGTGTTCTTAAAGCAATATTCGCCCCCTCATCGAAGTAATTCGAGCGATTGCTTTCTAGGATATAGCGGCACGAACTGCAGCTGCGCAGTCGAACTGAAAGAGTGGTGGAATGAAATCACCAAGTGACTGGAAGAAGACAGGAATTCGAAAGGAAGCAGAGAGATTTCGTGCAGTTATTGTGGTGTGTCTGAATTGAAGAGATTGTTCAGTATATATAGGCAACGAGGAGCATTTGCCTCTTAATGCAGCCATAACTCCTACCATTAAACTGCCATTTTAATTCTGACGCCGTTTTAAATGGAAAAACGTAAAAGAAAAATTTCAAAATGTGGCTAATTTTT